CAGGGAAGAATAGAACCCCCATGTTGTCTGCTGTGCCCCCCAGTTCATGATATAATTAGAAATGAACTTGTAGTATCTAAAAATCACTGAAACATTGAGGTTGTTTGTTATGGCAATTGCCTTCTCTGGGTTGACTCACCAACTAAAATTGGAAAGTGCTAATGAAAATACTCCATTTGACCTTGAAGAATGTGGAGTGCAGTGTGTGTAATTGTCTAATAAACTGTAACCTAAGAAGAAGAAGAAGCCAGTTTTCTCCAGTTTCCACAGGACCCACATTTACAAAGCATTTTTATTTATTTATTTTTTATTTTATGGTATACGAGTGTTATGCCTACATGTATGTAAGTGTACTCGTGTTGTGCAGTGTCCATGGAGGTCAGAAGACAGTGTCAGATCCCCTGGAACTGGAGTTATGGACGGTTGTTAGCTGCCATGTGGGTGCTGGGATTGAACTTGGGTCCTCTACAAGAGCAGCCAGTGCTCTTAACCTCTGAGACATCTCTCCAGCCCCAGGACCCACATTTTTACAGCACTAAAACCTGACTTGTGAGAGATACAGGAAGAAGCCCTGTGAGAGGAGGCCGAGGCAGCCATGACACCTGGCAGCCCCAGAGTACCAAGGGGGTTGGGTGGCAGCTGCTGGCGGACTCAGTCGTCCTGGATCTAAGAGGAATTCCAGAAACCTACTAGGAGAGTCTAAACAAGGGGACTTACCTATGGTGTCTGGAAACTGACAGGCATTAGATCATCAGATTTGACCTTCCTCTGACTAGAGATTTGTATGCTGTGTGTCACAAAGGCAATAACAGCTACAAATACATGAGCCTCTAAAAATTACTGGGTCCTGAGAAGGTTGGGGAAAAGTACTCCCACTTCGGATCAATGTGGCTTCAGTTGTGGCTTCCAGAACAGTACTTTCTTCTCTTTATTGCAGGCACAGCTGTCAGGCAGGCCAAACTGAACTGGGTCATTCCTCCCCAGCCACCTTTCTTTGACTTTTCCTGGAGGAAAGCCAAGTTTGGATGCCAGCCCCCCATCTTGGGGATTTGTGCTTTCCACAGCAACCTCAGTGGGTGTTTTGACATTTAATATATTTATATTCTACCCAAGGACAAGAGAGCTCACAGGTGGAGGCAGCCAGATCCTGATACTTCTGTGACTGCTCTGAGACTTATTTTAAAATTGAAAGTCAGGAGACTGAGGCAGGAGGGTTGATATGAGTTCCTCAAACTCAGTGATAGGCAATGCCTGACTCTTAGAATCCATTTAAACCAAGAGTGGGGGCCAGAACTGCTCTTAGAACTGGTTCCTTTAAATTTCTCCTGGAACTGTGCTCTGGAACCAAGGCCTTTCTCTTTCTTTATGGAAACAATATATCCAGCATAAAACGAGGGATGAAAAAAGCAGGATTTCTTTTCTTAGGGAATTTTCCCTTTCTGACCCCTAAGGACCTAGTGTAGAACACACAAGTACAAACAGGTGTTATCAATGGGAACTTGGTGTTTACAACATAAATGGGAAAATTCTTATTGCTTCCCAACCAATATTGATGCTTGAAATGCTTGTTATTTTCACAACATACATGCACATGTATATACATTATTCTGGGTCAAGGGCAAGGAAGAGTCAAGAGGGATTAAAGTTTTATGTTTAGGTTACAAGAGGAGCCCACGGCCTAGGAAGCTTGTTTAATGTTTTGGTTATAAGCTTAGGTAAAAGTCACTTGTCCGAAAAAGTCATTCTTTCTAGGCATAATGGTGTATACTTTTAATCCCAGCATAATTGCAAGAATCCAAGGCCAGCCTAGGCTAAATAGTGAGTTCCATCCAGGCCAGCCTGTGCTATAGAGCAAGACCCTGTCTCAAAAGAAACAAAAAAATAGGATGTGGTGACATGCAACTTTAATTCCAGCACTGGGAGGCAGAGGGAAAAAGATCTCTCTGAGATAGAGGCCAGCCTGATCTATATAGCAAGTTCCAGGCTAATTAGGGCTACAGGAGACCCTGTCTCAATAAGTAAGTAAGTAAACAAACAAACAAACAAACAAACAAATAGAATCAGGTTAAGTTTTAGGCACACTCTTCTGAGCTATAGCTCTTATGCTCAAATGTAAAGAAAAAATGACAAGGTGGGGGTGAGATTTGGAGGGAACAAGGGAAACAGAATGGAGAAAAGCTGAGGAAGCCAGGGAGCATCCTCAGCATCCATATCCCCCTGAACATCACTTGGACAAAGCTGGGATGCTGATGAGAGCAGAAATGCCATGTAATGAGGATGGGATCTACGGGATGTGGCTATGCATATATATTTGTGAGGCACTTTGGATACCATACAGGTTGAAGCAAAGTTTAAAAATTTTTTTTTCAATTTTATTTTCTTTCATCTTTTGCATGTGTATGTGTGGTGTATGCATATATGTGCACATGTGTGTGGGTATGCTTGCCTGTGCCTGCCCATGTGGAGGTCAGAAGTTGATTGATTTCTTGCATCTTCCTCTATTTTTCTCCCCCTTAGTTTTCTGAGACAGGGTCTCTCACTGAATCTGAAACTCACCATTTCTGTTAGCCTGGCTAACCAGTGAGCCCCCAGGGTCTCCCTGTCTCTACTCTCTCCCTAAAGTAATGGGGTTCCAGACACATGCAGCCATGCATGACTGTTATGTGGGTGCTGGGGAACTGAACTCAGGTCCTTGTACTTGTGCAGCAAGACTTCACGCACTGAACCATGTCCATAGACATTATTTATTTATTTATTTATTTATTTACTGAGACAAGGGTCTCACTACACAACCCAGGCTTGCATCTATTGATTTGACATGCACCACCATGCCTGGTGCAAAGTTTCTTGTTTTTTTTGGTGACAAGGCCTTCCTGTAGTCCCAGATGACCTGGAATTCTATATACAGACCAAGCTGGCCCTGAACTCCTGGAGATATGCCTGACTCTGTCTCCAGAGTGCTGGGATCAAAGGTAAGTGTTATTTTTATTTTATGTATATAAGTGTATTGCCTGCATGTATATAAGTGCACCCGTGTGCAAAGTCAGAGAGAGTGTTGAATCCCCTTCAACTGGAGTTAACGGATGGTTGTTAGCCACCAGGTGGGTGCTGGGAACTGAACCCTGGTCCTCTGCAAGAGCAGTCAGTGCTAAGTCATTTCCCCAGCCCTGGTTGCAAAGTTTTTAATCAAACTTTAAATTGTACAATTTCACCTGGATCATATAAACAAATGCTCCAGGAATCTATCTTTTTCACTAAGACAAATGGACAGACTTTTCTCTCTTCCTTCCCCTCCTGTGTAATCTCTCTGTAACTAAAATGTATATTTTCTAAACCTTCCCACAATTAAAGGTTGTTTTCAACAGTCTTCATATCTCAGAATGTGTTCTAATTAGCTAATCTGATACCAGGCGAGCAGCAGGCTTGTTGTGACTTGTAGTGTTTCTATTTTTTAGATGACCTACATTGATATATGTTTTTTTAATCATTCTTCCAGAGACACTGACAAACAGTAAACATTTCATGAACTGTAGAACACTGAAAGGATTAACCTGTAAGGGGCCAGTGGGATGGCTCAGTGGATAAAGGTGCTTGCCACAGCCAGGCTGTGGACCTGAGTTCTATCCCCAGGACCCACATGGTAAAAGGAGAGATCCAACTCCCACAGATTGTCCTCTGATCTTCACACGTGCTGTGTGGCATGCATGAAACTACACATACACACACAAAATAAATAAATGCAAAAAGATATTAACATGTTACTAAGCTATTAAATTATTATTAGTTTTGGGAGGTTGCTGGTGGGGACGGGGCTATAAACCTGATTCAGATTGTTTGAGATATTTTGTACAAAATACAACAAAATTTAATAAAAACAAATAAAAAATAAATTATAAAAACATAGTCGCCAGCCAAAAGAAGAGTTAACACTAATAAAGCAGTAGTTGCCTTCACATTTAATTCTAGAACAAGTCTTGGGGAATAGGAGTTATTTTACCTGCATTTTGCAGCTGGCTGGGAGGCATGATTGGATAACTTCTAAGACTGCTCCAGTTTCAAGCTAATACAATATCTTTAGCATTCTGGCACTGAAATGTTCATTTCTTGGTGTCTGTGGGTGAGAACCTGGTCCATTCCTGCTAGTAAACTGGGAACTACAGGTAGAGTGTAAACTGACACCTGGAAAGGCCTGAGGCTAAGAGAAAAAGGTTAGAGCTCCAGACACTTCAGTTGGTACTTAAGAGTGAAAAAGAGACACAGTTACTGAGCTGGGTGCTTTAAAAGGAAGGTATCTTTTACTTCTCAGAGCAAGTCTGGGGAGGTAGTATCATTTTCATTTAAAGAAAGCCAGCCAGATGTGGCAATGGATGTCTGCAATTCCAGCACTTGGAAGACCAGTTTTAACTACTAAATTCAATAGCAGTCTGCCCTACAGGAGCCTCAATAAATAAATATTAAATAAATAAATAAAGAGATAAATAAAAATAATAAACATATAAATAAAAATAGACGAACGAATAAATGAATAAATATTTAAATCAGTGTGATGGTCCACACCTGTAACGCCAACATTTGGGAGGTGGAGGCAGGAGGATCAGGAGTTCAAGGTCATCCTCAGCTACAGAGCAAGTTTGAGGCTAGCCTGGGCTACAAACAAACAACAAAGCTGAAACTTAATGCTTTGCCCAAATGGCCCAGTCAGTAAGTGGTACAGGTAGGCTACAAATCCAGTTTGTCGGATTCCAAACCCAAGCACGCGCCAAGCCTCCCCAGTTATATGCTATCTCATTCCAGGCTTTCTGCATACCTGTGGGGGGAGTTCGGGCTTCCTTTATTGGACTAATGGGACAAGTGCGACTCAGCCTGGCGCAGCGCGTGGCCAGGTGACCTGCTGCCGCCGGCGCCTCCCTGCAGCCAGGTTCTGGGCAGGTCCCACCTTTCCCGCCCGCAGCCCCACGCGCAGCCCGCAGCGAACTACACTTCCCGGCAGGACGCGGCGCGCGCACGCGCACGAGGGGGCCTCCGCCATGGCGACAGTGCTGTCCAGGGCGCTCAAGCTCCCGGGTAAGGAGTCCGCAGCCCGGCGACCGTGCAGTCGCGCCCTGGCCTGGGGACAGAGGGAGACTAGGCGGGTTGACGCCTGGCTTCCAGCCGGACTGGCTGCAGCGCCCGCGCCTGGGGGTGG